TCTCTCTCTCTCTCTCTCTCTCTTTCCTTCCCATTCTTTATCTCCATTCCTTATCTCCCTTACCTGACAATCTTGCCAATAATGTTCGAAGCGATGGCTCCGCCCGACATGGACGGCTGGCTTCCACCTCCGCCACCGCTTCCTCCTCCGCTAAAAGACGAATAAAACCATTTTAAAATAAAACAAAAAACATTTTCATAAAACAATTATCAAATAATGAAAGCTAAGAATAATAGTGATAACAATAATAACAAAAAACAAAATATTTTAATAAAACAATCAAGACAATAATGACAGAAGTAAATGATTATAAATTATGATCTAAGAATAATAGTGATAACAATAATTATAATATTAATAATGACAACAATAATACTACTACAGTTAGCAGATTTAAAAATAATAGTAGTAATAATATTCAATAATTATAACAAAAATAATAATAACAATCAAAATAATAATAATGATTTTAATAATGACAATAACAATGATAACAATAAATATAATAACTAAAACAATAATAGTAATAATAATAACAGTATTAATAACAAATAACAACGATAATATCAATAATAATAATCATAACCATTAACAATAACAATAATAATACTAATAACAATAATAATAATGATTATAAAGAAAATAATGATAACAATAATATCAATAATAATAATAATAATAATAATAATAATAATAATAATAATAGTAACAACAATAATAATGATAATGATAATAATAATGACAATAAAAGTAATAGTAATAATAATAATAACAATAACAATAATAATGACAATAATAATAATAATAATGATAATAATAACAACAACAATAATAATGATAATAATAACAACAAAAATAATTATAGTATAACTACCCTGTAGTATTGCAGTTATATCATAATCATCATTGTTAATTATACTTATTATAATAGATCATTTCTTTTGAAAAGTACGCTGCTACTCTCCAGCTGAGAAACAAATTGGGGTAAATTGGGAAAAAAATGGACTCACCCGACCAAACCTCCGATGACGTTCGACGCGATGCCAGACAGCACGTCGTCCTGATTCCTCTGACCTCCCCCTCCTCCGCGATTTCCTCCTCCACTGCGAAGAAATGGGAAGACGCGCACGTAAATATATTTGTTTACACTCTCCCTCACACGCATGCACACATACATACATACATACATACATACATACATACATACATACACACACACAACACATACACACATACACACATACACATACATGCACACACACATACACACATACACACACATGCAAACACACACAGGATTTTGTTCACTGTGACCATTATGAATTTCATAAAAGCAAATCTTGTTCATTTATCTCTACCAAATTTTGTAATGTAATAAAGGGACATTTAATTTTATGTCTATTTACTATAAGTCAATTTTTGCAAAGAAAAGTCATCAGTTTCAAACTTTTTTTTTGTCATTTAACACTACAAAATTCCCTTTTCAATAGTTGAATGATCCTTCTTTCTACCATTAATATTCAGAACACAAGTAATTTTGACCATTTCAATTCATACGACTTTTGAGAAAATATTTCAATCACGCTGATTTCTATTCTAGCTCGATCTCCTTCCTTTATCAAATCTTTCTTAACACCACATTCAATTCTGTAATAATAAAGATCATTTTATCTATTCTATAACGAGCCCTGTATATCAATCAAAACTTTTTGTTGATATCATTATCATATTACATGATGAATTTTCTCTTTCCTTTCAGTCTGAACACAGATATCATAAATATCCAAATATCATAAATCTTACAAATGTCTAAATAAATTCATGAATAAATATTGATATCATAAATACCTCAAATATAAAAATATAACTTGACTATCCATCTACTCTACAATGTGCAAAACTCTAGGGGCAATCCCGCCACATTTAAGTAACTAATTGCGATAATGATTCCTATAATTGCATGCATTGCAAAAGAAGCGTAATGGATACACATACACATGCGCAAAGAGTATATGTACATAATGAGTAGGAAAAAATAAAAGTATATGTACATTATGAATAGAAAAACATTAAAAATAAACAAAAAATTAAAGTATATATATATTATGATTAGAAAAAAAAAAAAAATAATAATAAACAAAATGAAGAATGATATGAAGGATGTTACAAAAATATTCATAAATAGTAAATACCATGAAAAAAATAAAATAAAAACTAACCCAAGAAGGTTTTGTCTTATACACAGTCTTTTATACTTACTTATTATTTGTTTTACTTACTTCATATTCATTGTTTTATCCTTACTTGTCTAAGTGTTAGTGCCCGTGTCTAAAATCTATAAACTGACGGAAATATTGTGGAGAAATGAGTTAGAGTTGGTTAGTTTAAATGCATTGGAATTCGCTTCAACCCCCTCGCTCTCACTTTCTTTCCCTCTCTCTTCCTCTTTCTCTTCTCCTCATTTCCTTTCCTCCTTCATCATCATCCATGTCTCTCCTATTAAATTTTTCTCTCCCCCTATTTCCCCCACTTTCCCCTGCCTTTCCTCCCCCCCCCCTCTCTCTCTCTCTCTCTCTCTCTCTCTCTCTCTCTCTCTCTCTCTCTCTCTCTCTCTCTCTCTCTCTCTCCTCTCTCTCTCTCTCTGTCAGTCAATCACTTTCTCCCCCCCTCAATCTCTCCCTCTCCCTCCCTCCCTTCCTCTCATCCCTCCCTCCATCACTCCTTCTCTCTCTCCCCCTCCTTCTCTCCCTCTCTCCCTCCCTCTTTCCTCTCTCCCTCTTTCCTTCCCTCCCTCTTTCCCTCTCTCCGTCTCTCCCTTCTCTCAAATCCTCCCTCTCTCCATTATCTTGAATCCCCCCTTCCTCCTTTTTCCCACCCTCCATCCCTCATTCTCACTCTCCCTCCTTCTCTCCCTCCCTCCTTCTCACTCTCCCTCCTCTCCTCTCACTCAACTCACTCTCACCCCCAGTCCATCTTACCTGAGCATATTCCCGATATACTGCGACGCCATACCAGCAATCAGATCATTCCTCATGCCTCCTCCTCCTCCTCCTCCACCTCCCCCTCCCATTCCTCCGCGTCCTCTGCAGGATTTAAAAAGGATAAAATGATAATTTGGGGAACAACAGACTGACGGGATAGGGGGCAGTGGAAAGAAATGAAAAGAAAGAATTCATGAGAAGTGAGGCAACAGCACAAAGAAAAACAATGATGAAAATGGCAATAACAAATAATAAATTGAAAAATACATAAGCATACACCAAGCATTCAAAACAACGTATATGTAATATAACAATAAGGTGCAAAAGTACCGCAGAACCGCAATACACAAACGCATCATAAAATACAATACAAAGCATGTGCAAAAAATGTCAAATTCGATACAAACAAACGCATCAATAAAAGCAACTCCGATGGCTGAAGACGATATCATGCCGTGACTTCTCCAGCTTCCAAGACCTAGTCAAAACGCTCAAAGAAATTAAAGAAATATGGGAGAGAAATTAAATGCGATGATGGTAATAAACGAAACAATAATTTATAGTTGACATTTGTGACAATAAGCATGCTTTAAGTGCATTTAATTAGAAAGTAAATGGAGAAAGGGAGGAGAGAGAAAGAGAGATTGGGAGAAAAACAAGAATATGAGAAAAAAAAATAAAAGCAAGGAAAGCAAGGAGATAGAGAAAGAGAGAGAGAGAGAGATAAATTAACAAACAGAAAGAGAGAGAGAGAAAAAAAATCACAAAGAAAACAAACATGCAGTAGTAGCAATAATAATAATGATAATAAAAACAATAGCAATTTATTCCCTTTACCTTTTGAATCCAAAATATCATAGCAACGGAAAAAGAGAGAGAAAAGAGATTAATACAAATGCCGAAATAATTATAATTATATCATTTACCAGTATCATCATTCTTTTTCATTATCATTAATATCAATTATAATTAAAAAAGAAAGTAAGGAAGGAACAAACAAACAAATAGAGAAATATATAAACAACAATTAAAAATGGAACATAATATTCAAAGAAACAGATATCAAAGAGTAGACAAATAATGCACAATAACAGAGAAAAGATAAAGAACAAAAGACAAAAGTAAACAGAATAAATGAAAATAATGAAAAGCAACAAATAATTAACAAAAACAAACAAGGCAAAAATAAAACAAAAATTCAAAACGAGGTGAAACAAATAAAACACCAAAATGAAAGAACACTTAAAATCGGATAAGATGGAATAAAGAAGATTGATTAAGATTAATAATGATTTAACAACAACTTAATAACCCACTCACAAGAGGATTTTACCACACACAGCCGAGCCATGCACCGGGCTCCTAACAGACGGGTGCTCGAGTTAAAATAACGAGGGTAGGATATAAACACATTTACTCTACGTTTTTGGTACACGTTTCATTGTCGGGTGATCAAAATAAAAAGGACAAAGGTAGGATATATACATATTTACTCTACACTTTTGGCAAATGTTTCATACTCAGGTGATCGAGTTAAATCAAGTTAAAAACGGCAAGGGTTGGAAATATACACGTTTACTCTACTCTCTACATTTAAGGCACCTGAGTTTCACAGTCAGGTGATCCTATTAAAAAGGAAATGGGTAGGAAATATACACATTTCGTTCACACTTTCGGCACATGTTTCCTATTAAAAAGGAAATGGGTAGGAAATATACACATTTCGTTCACACTTTTGGCACATGTTTCACGGACAGGTGCTCGAGTTAAAATGACAAGGATAGGATATCTACACTATCACCATCGGCAATGCAAACTTTACAATCCGATGCTGAATTGGAGATGACAAGAGTAGTAAACATACATTTACCGTAATGCATTTTCGTTAAAAAGGGAACGCAAGACGATTTCTGTGGGGCTATGAGAGGCACTGTTTCTTCAATGACCACTTTTAAGGGCAAACAAACGAGTAGATTTATAGTATGCGTAACTTCGAGTCCGTCTGCATGCGGTATGGCT